TTGTCAGTTTATGTGTTCGCTCATGTTAATGGGGGACTAAGGATTTCCGATTAAACATAAAACCGTTTAACCCGAACCTCATTCAGTTCCAACGAGTCATTCGTATTTGGACTTCTTTAATAACCCTAGGAGTTCTCCTGATCATCTGACTTGCTGAATCCGCCACTGAATAACGGCATATCTTTTTTTCAGAATAAAATTATACTTTTATCTAGCATATCTAGATCTAAAAGACGGCCTTACAAGCATAAGATTCCTCTTGAGTGCTCCATGGAATCCAATTCTTTCAACTTTTTGCCAAAATGATAGTGACCAGAACCAAGCTCCTGCTGCATCTCTATAAAATAGGTTGCCAAATAGCGGTTTACTAATTAAAAATCAACATGGGGTCTGGATCATCACAAGAAGCAGATACACAACATGGTGAACCAGAGACTCATCGTAATGCAAAAAACACAGTTAAAACTACAAACACACACTTGAACAACAGCTTACCTCATGATTGTGATGCCATTCTAAAGGATGCGGATACCGTCATTGATAAGTCCTCAAAYGACCAACTYTATGCRGGTGTGTTCTTGAACAAAAAGAGAAWGGTACGCCTTGTTTCCAATTGACTARTTGAGCTTTTCTAATAACTGGCGTTRGTTTTTCCTGTTTTTAYTGTATGATCGTTAAGTTTTTCTTCCTGGTCTAGTAGTTTTAGTTTTACTGCTTTAAGTTTCCTAGTTGGGTTTATCTTATGTCCGTCTCATCATGTGTCCCTACTCCCCTTTTTGTTCGTTGTATATGTTGCTTGCTTGCATATAGTTTCTACTACTTGTATCTTTGTAATTTTTGTTTTGTAAAGCGGGAGATCTTCTCATGAAAACAACTTATTTATCCTTTATGGTGAAGGCAAAGACACGTACATCCTACCCCCTCCCCCGGACTCTACTTTTGTGTGAGATATACTGGGTTCGTTTGGTTTGATAATTAAGAAATATCTGAACGATGATTCATACTTAACATTCAAACCTGGCAGCCGCACTCAAAAGAAACTACAAAGGATTAGAATTTAGAAATATAAATCAAAATTGTTTCTTCTTTCAAATGCATGTTTATGCTTATTTTGACTCAAAACAAAAAAGTAACGCCTAAAATACAAGGACTAATCTGTAATTACTTTCATCGCCCCCAATATGCCAATATTGACACTGATGGTACGGAAATGTAACTCACTGTTTAAACAGAGTTGTCGGACTTGATTACGTGTATGCTCCTTGATAGGTACCAAATAAATGACTACTTGAATCGGGATTTCGAGCATAACTATGCCACTGACCCTATAAAAAGTCAGCCTAACCCTCGGAGATATGGTATAAATGGCGTTTTGCCTTCATTTTTGTATGTATTATAGAAGTAATGAGATATAATAAGAATCCTAACTACAATTTGTGTAAGTATATTGCTAAATCATGTAAATATTATCCAAGCCTTATATATGAGCAGTTATTAACCTTACCTGAAGTATGTTAAATATGCGTTCTTTTTACGATTCAAGCAGAAGTATTGGGTAGTCAAGACATCGTACAGCAATTGCTTCTTTGTGTTTGCACGGGACCTCTCGATCACGTGGGCTGAAGATGAACGTTATTGGCATTGGTCCAGCGTTAAAGAAACAAGGTGATTAGAATTATACGCAAAGAAGATCTGCAAATCCATGTTGGTGGTGTAATGTTCAGCAGTATACAATTGTATAAGGGGGCGTACAAGGGCATAATGGTAAAATCACTTGGTGCAACTATTTCAAAAATTAGTAGACTTTCTGGTTATTTCTGGTTAGTATGTAATATTCATTGTGCTGTCACCAAATAATCAATGACAATACAATGACTACTTTTATACAAACCAGAAAGCCTAACTTTCAGTTACTTACATAGTTACAAGTGATTTTACCATTATGCCCTTATACGCCCCTTGTACAAATGTTACTACTCGACAATAAAAGCACCAACAAGCCATGACAACTACTTGACATACAAACTGCATTTTACTGCCTTCTTTTGCCAAACTCCCTCTATTCCATAACAAGTGTATAATTCTATTTTTGTTTGTCTCAAAATAAGTGTGCACTTTCAAAAGTAAACGTCTAATTTCCAATTCTACCCTTAATTATATGATGGATAAATTAATTAGTTCCTCTCAGTTATTAAGGGTAAAATTGTCATTTAGTTAATTAAAAAGTGTAATAATTACACATTTCTAAAACTGTCTCTTTCTTTATTATGGACATTTATTTTGAGATGGAGGGAGTATTATTTTCTAATAATAATTTCACAACGGTTCCAATTATGAACAAATTAGTCTTTATGTTTCTTTAACAACGATACTACCATTATCGTTGACTATCAAATTTGAAAGAATTGTTCATGGCGAAACACGTCACGTCACACATGAATCATTTGGCAAACACTAGTGGATTCCGTTTTTAACTCCCATGTGTTCCTCACATAACATTTTGAGGGGAAGAAGAAAACCAATTATGTGTTAGGCTCGTAACACATGAGAGTTAAACACATTCTAGTGCCAAGTTAACAAAGTGATACGATGGCATTTGTGCATCAGATCATAATTTCATCCTATCAGATTGTGGAGGGACTCATGTCTAGTTTCTCAAAATTTAGCATATTTGTCTCTCTCTCTCTCTCTATCAGTATTGCGTTTCACATCATATTTTCAATGTTTAGCATATATGTTCTCCTCCATTTCTTAAAGGAAACAACCACTCTACTATTTAGGGTAGAAGTCAGGTCTGCATACATCTTTACCCTCCTTGCCCCCACCCAAAAAAAGAAATACCCCACCTCCAGGTGGGATTAAATGGGCTCGTTGGTTCCGTTTTAGATTGTGGAGGGACATCATAGTGTCCGACTGTAAAAATTTACAAAAAAGAAAAAAAAACAGCGACTTAAATATGGGTTTTCCCTGGTTTTTGCAGTGAAGTGTCTGTGGATGTTGCAGAAATACTAAATATTTGCTGGTTGGAAGTCCATGGGAAGTTTGACATGGCCAAGCTAACACCAGGAATGAAGTATGAGGTTGTGTTTCTGGTGATGTTAAAACATCCGGCTTACGGTTGGGAAGTTCCGATCAATATCAGACTCGTTCTACCAGATGGAAATAAACAAGAACGCAAAGAAAGTTTGATGGAAAAGCCAAGATCAAACTGGTTTGAAATCATGGTGGGGGAATTTATGGTGGAAGCAAAGAAGGGAGGATGTGTGGAATTCTCGTTGTATGAATACGAAGGTGGGGCTTGGAAGAGAGGTCTACTTGTCAAAGGTGCAAGCATTAGACCAAAATATTGAAAGTTGAGAAAAACCCGACTCCTATTAATATGTAAGCTTTTAAATTAGAGTTGTGTTTGAGAATAAAACCACTTACCAATGATATCGGTGCTTCGTAATAAGCCCATGGCTATGAAATCTTCTATGTTGTTTTCCGCTTTCCAAATCTTCAGACAGAGCTCACACCTGCAGCATAGTTATCCCCACAAGCTTACTCAGGAGAATAACTTTCTGACAGATTTTCTTTTTGTAAATTCATGATCTTCCAACAGATTTAAGAACGTCCCTGCCTAACAGAATAATGCCTTAAAATATGTCAGAAGGTTATGCCTTTAAAAAAATCTGTCAGAAAGTTATTCTCCTAAAGAACCTTCTATCCGCACCATACATGCTTACCTCTCCCAGTCCTAGGTGGCACCAAGACATGGACAAACAATATAACATGATAATCAACTGCTGGTAAGATGATAAGATGTATGCATACCAACTTTCAGACAAAAAGAAAACTATTATGATGTATGCTTATTGACATATATAGTATACATAGGAGAACAAATAAAAGTACAAAATACAATTCACATAAAGTTTAAGTAACGGTTATCGAGCGATAAACCTTAATTCTGTAGTCTAGAAAGAGAGCGAAATAAAATGAGCTAATAACAACA